GTTGAGGGTCCCACATTATCTAGACAATCGGCTCAAAGATGGCGGTAAGGTTGTCAGCCTTACGCACCGGCTGCCCTTTACCCCCAAGAATATTCCTGGTACTCATTTCTGTTAGAAGCTGAGTAAACCCCAAGGGCTAGTGCGACTGGAAGGATTAGGTCAACTGAAAAAACCCAATGACCTCATCGCGACTTGAACACGCGACCTTCCGGCTTGTAGCATAGCCCCTCAACCAACTACGCTACCGCGTGCCCCCACAGAGCAGTGAGTATAGGGACTGGCTGCGGGCTGGACGGTCAAGGGGTTGGAGTTCGAGTCCCGGCAGAAGCAAAATTCTTCTCTTCTCCGCGTCGTCCAGACCGGTTTCCGGGCCCATCAAACCTTTCATCCAATGAGTACCGGGGGTAAAGCGGCCAGGGCATAAAGCTGATCACTTGCTTCCATCTACATGCTAGGTCAAGAATACGCGGATCTATACATCCACTCCCCCATACGTCTTCATTGGCATAATGCTTAATTAGTTAAGCACAGAGACAACTTTTTACCTTCTGTTCGTCATAAAATTCGTTATATTTTTATGTGAAGTTAGGGGGTACGCGGTAGTGTAGTTGACTGAGACACTATGCTACAAGCCGGAAGGTAGCGGGTTCGAGTCCCGTTGAGGTGGATGTTTTCAATTTACCTATTAGTAATCTTTCCGGCCGCACTATGGCCCTGGGGTTGACTCAGCCTCTAACAGAAATGAGTACCAGGAATTAATTAAATAATTTTCCTGGGGAGTAAAGCGCGGCTGGCGCGTAAGGCTGACAACCTTACCGCCATCTGTGAGCCGATTGTCTAGATAATGTGGGACCCTCAACATCTCACAACCCTATGGGCCTCCACGGCCTGTTACAGGGACAGCTTTACCTTTTTTTATTTATATTCAGTTAATTTAAGAACGATCTGAGAATTTTTTGTACAGTCAAGATGCTGAATGACTGGGAAAGACACTGAAGTCTGCGGTTGGTGGTCTGATTTAATATTCTGACAGTTGCATGTAGGAACCGAGGCCTGCCAGGATATTCGGTGTTCATACCGAAATAGGATCTGGACACCTCCAGAATACATAGTTCATTAATGCACGGGTGACTTGTGACATGACATATAGCCAGTTCGGGCTCACAAGAGTCCACAGCCGGGTACAGAGAGGATCAATAGATCTGATGTTGCGGCTGATGCCCTCTTCGTGTTCTTATTTTGAAACTATGCGGTAACTCACTCCCGCCCCTCCATAATAACCTATGGTTACGTGCGTGGTCTACCTCTTTGGGAACTTATATAAGTAGCGAATAAAATAAAACGAGTAGATTCTAAAGGGTTCTGACGATGGATGACACACAGAATTACTGGGGTTTTGGACTTTTTCCGTCGTCCGGAATTTTAGGTAATATAGGAGACGACGTTTCGGGAACTTCATCTGTTTCCGTCTTCAAGTGAGAAAGGAAGACACCTACTCAGTTATGCCCCTTAGAAAGAGTTAATCTCAATCATGGAGTGTTGGTCCAAATCCGCCATGAACAATAATTCTTCAGCCTACTCGCAACAGCAATGAATTTAAACAACGCAGTGTCGGCTTACGTCTGTTGCTGGTTAGTATACGTGGACTTGCCGCGATGTTGGTTGCAGAATTATGCTTAGTCATTTAACACTCTAAAGCGTCCGGGAACAAAACAAGGAGGGAGAAGATGTTATAACTTGTTATGAGGCACATTTCTGCCTCTACTGTTGGGTTGACGTCACGTCGTCATGGCAACATCGAAAATAACTTCCCCTCGGCCTGAAGCTAAATTATGAGCTTGTGGTCCATATATTTTACGTAGTTCGTCCTAACAAATAAACGATTTAACGGGACAAATAGGAGGGTAGCAAAATATTCATACCGAGAATAGATCTGATTTTATGTCACGGATCCTGCAATGCTCTCTTTAGTGATTGTGACACAGTTAATTTATTGAGAACTGGAGTTAGTATCTGTTACAATTCCAGTTTGCTGTTATGGCAAAATGCATTAACTTACTGCAGGCAGAAGTTATGAGAGAGGAAAGAGAGCGTCATTTCGTAAAAAGGGGGGCAGGCTTCGCTCGTTCGCTCTTCAGATTAATTTAGAATGAAAGTGAACATATTGTTATAGCAAGGAGTTGTGGTATGAGGCAGGCGCCAAGGAATTTTGATCCTCTGCTTCTTTTTTTTTCCTTAGCACTACAGCCCCAGTGGGCCTAGGCCTACCTCCATGAACTTCTCCGTTCACTTCGTTTTTTTTCTAGACATATGGTAGGACTCCTTGGGCGGGTGATCGGCTCGTCACAAGGCCTCTACCTGTACACAAACATCCTTGCCCTGAGTGGGATTCGAACCCGCGATCCCGGCTTCCGAGCGAGCGAAGACAGTGCACGCCTTAGACCGCTCGGCTACCGTGACCGGCTCTCTGCTTCTACCTACCAGAAAACTGACTAATCTATAAATAAGATGATTTTCAAAGTAATTAGAATGTGATTTTATTAATGTTTACCTTACCGCCATCTTTGAGCCGATTGTCTAGATTCTGTGGGACCCTCAACGTCTCACAACCTGATGTAAGCTTAAGGACGTTTCGGAGGAACATACTGCTTGCTTCGCTTACTCTTTGATCCTGAAAATGAACGCAGTTCATTCCTCTGAAAAGTCAGTAAATTTGTATCAGTTTACACGGAGTTATATCCCAGAAGACATGACTCTGCATATTCACTTCTATGAGAAACATTACTTAATGTTGTTACCTGACAAACCCTCCTTTGTTATACACTAAGCTAGATTACAGAAATGTCCCTGCTCACGTGACATTAACTTAATAATAGAACGAACTATTTATAATCCATCGTCTGTGTACATGATAGTGCCTTTTTTAAATTTTGAAAAACAAAAACTAGTAGAATTTCATGTACTTTAAATTCACAAATCAAGTCACAAAATGGTCA